ATAATTTACTTCGCCATGTGCACGGTTTACCCAAACACTTACCTGCACGATCAGGTGATACGTCCATCTCCCTTTCAGCGAGGTATTCCATCGTGACTGCCAACTCTGCATGCTCTTGCGTTTCTCTTCTACCTTGAGCTCGGTTGAGTTCAGTTCAGTCGATTCTTTTTTGCCAGTACAGAGATTTTTGTTGTTCACCTAATATGTCAATTGGCATCATCCCTGCAATCATGCACACGACATCATCAGACACAGTGCGGTATGCGCTGGCAACTCTGAGGGCACTTAGTCGATAAACCGATGCCGCTTTGCGTCGGGTCTCCTGTGTTTGGAGTGCATGAGCTCAGATAGCGATTGCGTAAGTAAGTACTGACGTAATCACTGATGACAGTGAAGCTCATCTTCTCTGCTTGGGACCTCCTATATTGAGCATAAGGCGCGATAGAGCAGATCGAACCCCAGATGCCTTGGTAGTCACATGCTCCCCTTGCTGCTTGAAGTTCAATCGGGCGTCAATTATTACCCCCAGATACCGAATGAACGGCTGGGAGGTTAATTTGTCGGCAAGTCGCCGACTTGCAGTGTGATCGTCTCCACAACTTTCCTGCTTGTTATCCACTAAAGACCAGGGACCTTGGTATTCCCGATCCGACCACATGCCGCCATCAGCTCATCCTCAGTGATTGGTAGGACCATCAACTGTTTTCCTCGTTTGTTGGCACATTGCAGTTCTGGTTGTTGTGGAAACAACACGGTTGCGATTCTTTCCAAGAGCTCAGGGCACGTCGGCGATGGCATAGGCAGGCTGTTGATCCGTGTCATCACCACCTTGTATGGCCACCTTATACTTCAGCAATCAGCTTATTCCAGGAATGTGTCGTGCTGCACTTGATGGCCTTGCTGAGGTAACATCGTAACTTCTTGTATCGCATCTCTAGCTCCTCGAAGTTTGGCTTCTTTTGGCCACCCTGGGACGATCTCCTTGCTGCGTTACACTCCCTGCGCAAGTTGGCGATGGTATCGTTCCACCAACATACCGGTGACCGCCAATTGGTGATGCGCTTTCTGGGCATGGTGGCATCGCAAGCTTCCGTAAGTCTCCTCTTGATGTTGGTTGCCTTCTCAGTAGCATTTCTGTCACTGATTGGGCGATCGTCTAGTGCCACTAGATAGGAGCTAGGATCGAAGGTGATCACTTTCCAGCCAATTGCGTTCGTCTTCTCCGATGCTGGTCCGTACTCCCGGCCGGTGGATCTCTCCCAGAGTATCGCACGATGATCGCTCGCGGTATCTATTCCGCTTACCTCCCATGAACAGTTTCCCCTTGCGAGGTTGCTGCTTACGAACATAAGGTCTACGATCGAGCTCGCCTCTCCCCCCATAAAAGTCAGTTCGTCGCCAGTGTTGAGCAAGACAACATCCAAAGACGCCATGGCTTCCAGCACAGCTTGTCCTTGACGTTGGTTTCTGTACTTCCCCAATCGACTGCCCAGGCATTGAAATCGCCGGCTATCGCCACAGGACAGTGCTGCTTCGCATCCTCGGCCAGTCGATCTAAGAAGTCGGTGAACTCATCGGTTGAGAGGCTCGGTGGGGCATAGCAGCTGTAGAAAAATATTCCGCCTACCTTAGCCCTCACAAAGTCCTTCTCCGTACTACAGATGACACTCTGGAATGGGAGCCCACTGCAAGACCTGATGACGTCCTGTTGGTCATGTCAGTAGCCCAGGGTTGAGTGTGAAGGTGTCGGTATGGCTCCGAGATCATGACGAGAGCGGGTTTCAGCTCCCGTACCATCTGCATGAGCAGGTCGTTTGCGGCCTCAGGTGGTTGAGGCTGAGCTGTAATATTTTTATCGTCGTCTGTTGGTTAGCTTCTGCAGCGTCTCCTGATACACTGATCCCCTGGTGCTGCCAGAAATATGAGCGCAGTTCTCCGTATTTCCCTTCTCACTACACAAGGCACAATTGGGCTCCTTCTTGCAGGCAGCAACGGTGTGGCTCAGCGCATTTGACGCAGAGCTGGGACCGATCAACCCCATTTTTACATTTGGCGGCGAGATGGCAATAGTGCCAGCACTTGAAGCACTTTAATGGTCTCTCTACTCTTCTCACTCGGCAGTTAACCAAGCTTATTTTGATATTCCTGTGACCCCAGGATCTTCTTCACTGTCGTAGCAGCGAGTCTTACTGAGGCAGTCTGGGTACCTCTATATGCTTTACGGAGGGACTTAATCGCATCCGCTTGGATCTCATGCTCCTCCCCAGCTGCTGCTCTTAGTGCTTCGATGATATCCCCCATCAATGTGGTTTCGTCAAGATCTTTGATCTCGAGATCTTCCTGTGGCTCTTTACGGAGCACCTCAGCCTCATCTCCGAGAAGATTGATGATGGCTGTACGCAGCTTAGGTGCTCCGCCAGTCGTCTTTCTGCTCAGGATGATCAGCATATCCCCGGTTACTGTTCGGCGAATCTTATCGACACAACCGCTAGCGTCCTCGGAGGGAACATCCTTCTTCACCCGGCGTAGGATATCCGACTACTACTCCTTATCCTTGGGACGTACAATCAGCGCATCAGTTCTCATCGCTGATTTCCGAGGAGCCTTCTCCAGTTTCTTTTTCCCCTTCGTCTTTTTGGGAGGCGGCTGTGGGGGCTTTCTGATCTGCCTCTTCTTAACGTGGATACGTCTTAGTCGTTGGTTAGGGGGGTCATTCCGAAAAGTCCACCTAGTCCGCAATGCCATCTGGCGACAGACATGCGAACTATTACGTACTATCAAGATCAGCTATCGGTAAGAATGGGAACTGTAATCAGTGATAATTATTCCCTGTTCCACGCGTTAGAGTCAGCACACAAACCGAAAATATAAGCAATATGAAACAACTATAAGGACCAGCCTAGCGAATGTTACTTATTCCTTGTTTCTATTCATATTCATTCGTTTTTCTGTTTGATATTTGTCATTCTCTCATGTTCATCATGCACAGAATTGATCAGTTTTAAAATTTTTGTAAATTTTGAGAAAATTCAGAGAATTTCTAGAAATTTCGAGAAAATTCAGGAAATTTCTAGAAAATTCAAGGAAATTCTAAAAATTTCGAGGGGATTTCGGGAGTTTCACCAAATTCAAGTGAAGCAAGTAAAATCTTTGAACTAAAAAAAAACCAATTGACTGTAACCTTGATACAACCGGTGAATAAATTTGGCGTGGACACGTCTATGTAGTTTGTGTTGGAATGTGTTGATGTGTCATGGACCAGTTTCAACCTAGACGTATCCACGTCAAAAATTTATCGGCTGTATCAAGATTACAGCCAATTGGGTTTTTTTTCTCTTTCTTTTTCTTCTTCACCTGCGTCCATTCAGGCTTAACTGGTGGATCAGTGAGGGCTTCGCAGTTGGCTGGTAGGGCTTTCCCTGACCCCTTCGGTTTTTTGGGCTTCTTATCATCATGCCTAGGCGGCTCACGCTTCCTCCGTCTGGCTTGACGGATGTCTCAGAAGTCTGTCACAGATGATGTATCGTCGGCTTCCTGGTCTATCCTTTGTTGTCAATCCGTCGGTTGCGGATTGTGTCCATCGTCGTACAGACAATGGGACCTGTCTGCTCACTTCTCGTTGGAAGGTGGATTGTTTCGCTCCCTCTTGAGACTCTTATATGCCTCTCAGTCTCCTGAAAGCACTATTGATGCTGATCACTTTCAATTTGATCTCCTTGTGAACGTTCACTTTTGGTTGAACGAACTCATTAAGATCGTTGATAAGCTTTGCAAGCCTGTACCATGCTTGCAAACTTTCCTCTGCTACTTCTGCTTCTGCTCCTTGTTGTTTATTTAAATTTGCCTCCATATTTCTCCCACGAGTACCTAGGGAAATAACGGTCCACTCCAAATAGAGCCCGGTTGAGGAGTAAGGCCACTGAATACACCCGGGGTGGGACCTGATGGCCCCCGGACCACCATTTGCGATGCCAACTACCCCTGACGCCTTCCAGAACTCTGCACGGTGAATACCTTAACATCGGCAGGGGGGGAGGCGTTTGGAAGGTGTTGGTTCGCGCCGACATTTTTTATTTAGTCGGTACCCTGTGTTTTGAACATGGTCCAGTTCAGGGTGAGTATCCCCCCATCCATCACCTGGAAACGCGCCACGTTGCAGTACCTTCCAACCTGCGAAAACTCTCGGAAAGGAAAGGCGTTTCTCGCAGAGAGGATCCGTGGATGTGTGTGTGTGTATGCGTGCGTGTGTGTGTGTTTTTTTTCGGTCTGTTGGCAGAATGCATTTACGCACAACCACCTGAGGGAGGGGATCGATGGTTCCCTCCGCCAGGTGAGTTTCGGACTTGGACAGACTGTCAATACCGACTATACTCCAATCAGACCAGTTTCGTCTTACCCCATACTCCCCACGGGACCGCCGGCAGGCATTACTTCGAGGGGGGGGGGGATATTCTAGCGATTGCTCTTCCTCTGGTTAAACGCTGTGTCGTAGGTCCTCCTTCTTCACTTAGATATTGGGAGTGAGTAGGACGTTCCGGTAACTTCTTCTCCTATGCAGCATTTTTCCGATGGCGCTCTTCCTCACGGAGCTTCTTCATGACTTTCGTCGCGAAGTCGCTCGTTGCGTCCTAGGCTTCCTTCGATGACATCATTGCTTCCACCAAGTTCTCAGGCCGGATCGTCCCACCGAGTGCAGGCTCCCACTCTGAGCGACTCTTCTGAAACGTGAGCATTCAAAACAAACATGCTCTGCGTCTTCTTCAGTATCTGTATACGTCCGGCAATTCGGAGAATCCTCATGCTTAAATTTATGGAGATACGCCCGAAAACACCCATGTTCTGGAAGCATCTGAGTCAAGTAATAGTTAACTTCACCATTTTCGCGACTTATCCAAGCACCTACCTGCGGGATCAGGCGATACGTCTATCTCCCTTTCAGCGAGGTGTCCCACTGTGACTGCCATCTCTCCATGCTCTTATGTCTCGCTTCTGTCCGGAGCTCAGTTGGGCTCAGTGAGGGCGATCTTTTTTTTCCGGTACAAGGATCTTCGTTCCTCAGCTAATACTTCGATCGACATCATTCCGGTTATGAAGAACACGGCATCGTCGGACAAAGTGCGATATACACTGGCAACTCTGAGGGCAGTCAGTCGGTAAACAGCTGCCACTTTGCGTCGCTTCTCTTTTACTTGGAGTTCATGCGCCCAAATAGCGATACCGTAGGTGAGTACCGACGTAATCACCGATGAAAATAATGCTTGTTTCCTCTGCTTAGGACCTCCTATATTGGGCATAAGGCGTGATAATGCAGATCTAACCCCAGATGCCTTGACAGTCACATGTTCCACTTGCTGCTTGAAGTTGAGTCGTGCATCGATCATTACTCCCAGGTACCGAATAAACGGTTGGGAGGTTAGTCCCGTAGTCGTCGACTTGCAGCGTAATCGTCTCAACAACTTTCCTGATTGTAATCAACACAGTCTCGGTTTTATGCTCAGCCAAACTCAGCCCAACTGTGTCCATCTAGCGGCGGACTGCCTCAAAGGTCATGTTGATGGCAAGTTTGATTTCTTTGAGGTGCTTCCCCACGATGACTACGGCCACATCATCCACGAACGCCACGAGTTGCACATCGCGCGGCAGTGCCAGCCTCAGCAGGCCATCGTACATGATACTCCACAATAGAGAGCCCAACACTGAGCCCTGGGGTACGCCTCCGGTAACCCTGTACTCCTTGGGGCCATTCTCCGTGTCGTACTTGAGAACCTTTTCGGTGAAGTAGTCGCCCACCATATTCCGCAGGTACTCCGGCACGCCGAACCTCTCGAGTGCCTCCATAATGCAGTCCCACCTGGCTGATTTGAAGACGTTCTTGATGTCCTGTGTCGCTACTAAGCAGTACTTTTTCGTGCCTCTGTACCATCTTTTCCCTGAAATCGCTTCCCTTGCGGTGTCAACGACCAGGTTAATGGCGTCAAGGGTGGATCGGCCTTTCCGAAAGCCATATAGGCTGTTGGCCAATGACGGTTCGACTGCTGCTTCTATTCTCTTGTGGACCATGCGCTCGAGAATTTTGCCAGCTGTATCGAGCATGCAGAGGGGACGATAGGATGAGGGTTCGTCCGGTGGCTTTTTCCCTGTCGGGAGCAACACCAGCCTCTGCTGCTTCCACTTTGCAGGGAAGGTGCCCTCACTAAGATACTTGTTATACACGTCCAAGAATAGATCTGTCAATGCGCGGATAGCGGCTTTCAGCGCGATGTTAGGAATTCCATTGAGGCCGGGAGCTTTGGTGTTCCCTACTCTGCCACAGGCTTCCATCAACTCTTCCTCAGTGATTGGAGGAACCATCACTTTTTTTTCTCGGTTGGCCGTGCGATGTATTTCTGGTTCTTGTGAAAACTACACCGTAACGATCTTTTCCAAGAGTCCGGGGCACGTCGGCAATGATATGGGCTGACTCTTGAGTCGCGTCATTACCACCTTGTATGATCTGCCCCACGGGTCACTTTCTACTTCAGCAATCTGCTTATTCTAGGGATGCACCTCGCTGTACTTGATGGCTTTGTTGAGCTTACACCGTGACTTTTCGTATTTCATCTCCAGCACGTGGCCTCCAGCACGGCTTCTCCTTTGACATTGGTTCTTTCACTTCCCCAATCGACTGCCCAGGCATTGAAGTCCCCGGCTATTGCCACCGCAAAGTGCTGCTTCGCATCCTCGGTTAGTCGATGTAAGAAATCGGTGAACTCGTCGATTGGGAGGCTAGGTGGGGAATAGCAGCTGTAGAAATAGATTCCGCCAACCTTAGCCTTCACGAAGCCTCTCTCCGCACTGCAAAGGGCACTCTGGAATGGGAGCCCACTGCAAGACCAGATGACGACCCTTTCGGTCATGTCAGTAGCCCAGGGTTGAGTGTCAAGATATCGGTATGGCTCCGAGATCCCTACGAGATCAGGTTTTAGCTCTCGCACCGTCTGCATAAGCAGATCGTGTGCAGCCTTACAATGGTTAAGGTTGAGCTGTAATAACTTCATCATCGTCTACTGGTTAGCTTCTGTAGTGCCTCCTGATACACTGGATATCTGGTGCTGCCAGCGATATGAGCGCAGTTCTCCGTGTTTCCCTTCTCAGTGCATAGAGCACATTTGGGCGCCTTGACGTAGTCAGCAACGGTGTGGTCAGACTCAGCGCACCTGACACACAGCTTGGACCGATCGACTTCACTCTTGCATTTCATTGCGAGATGACCATAGTGCCAGCACTTGAAGCACTTTAATAGCCTCTCCACTCTCCTCACTCGGCAGTAGACCCAGCCTATTTCCTATCTTTCCTATTATCTTTCCGTGCTCCTCCGGGATCAGTCTGAGTATCTCCATAAGCTTTACGAAGGGACTTGACCGCATCCGCTTCGATATCGTGCTCCTCCCCAGCTACTGCTCGTAGGGCTTCGATGACATCCTCCTTCAATGTGGTTTCGTCAAGATCTTTGATTTCGAGATCTTCTTGTGGCCCTTTACTGAGCATCTCAGCCTCATCTCTAAGGAGATTGACGATGGTTGTACGCAGCTTAAGTGCTCCGTTAGTCGTCTTTCTGCTAAATATGATCAGCATATCTCCGGTTACTTTTCGGCGGATCTTATCGACACAACCGCCAGCGTCCTCGGAGGGAACATCCTTCTTCATCCGGCGTAGGATATCCGAGTACTTCTCCTTGTCCTTGGAGCGTGCAATCAGCGCATCAGGTCTCATAGCTGATTTCCGAGTAGCCTTTTGCTGTTTCTTTTTCCCCTTCGTCTTTTTGGCAGGCGGCTTTGGAGGGAGCTGTCCGGTCTGCCTCTTTTTCTCCTTCTTGTTCTTCACCTGCGTCCATTCAGGCTTAGCAGGTAGATCGGAAGGTTCCACAGTCTGCGGGGCTCCCTTACTGGTCAGATCCTGTTGCTTCAGCTTATTCAATTTTTGAGCTTCTGCCGCAGGTGAGCTTTTCAACCGTTTTCTCCGCACTGCTTTACGCACTTGTCGAGTTGACGGCGTGATACTCGGATCCTATATTTCCGAATCTTTCACCGTTGGTTCGAAGTCAGTCCATACACGCGACGTGGGTGGTGCTAGTGGAGTTTGCACAGACTCTGTAATAAAGAATTGATCTTTGGTGCGTGCGTTCTCCAAGCTCTTGAGCTGCTTGAATGCACTGCCGATAGATGCCATCTTGGATTTGATCTCCTTGTGGACATTTATCCTGGGTTGGACATACTCGTGAAGGTCTGCAATGAGTTTTTCAAGCCGTGCCCATGCATGACGACATTCTCTCTCCTGCTGAGTCTGAAACTCATCCCTCCTTGTAGCATCCGAGGCTAAGGAGTCCACCTTTAACGAATGTGACGATTGGCTCCTCCCACAATCCATGGAGCCGGCATCAGCCATCGAGGCTTTCACTCGATCAGAACTAATGGTCGGATTTTCCTTCTTAGGGATACCCGCATGAGAAACTTGCATTTTATCATCACTGATCATTATTAACTATGGGCTGTTACAGGGGGGGAGCCCACCCGATACTCTTTATGTGGGCTGTTGTAGTCCCCGGAAGCTATTTCATTTCACCCCAGTCTGCTGGGTCAGCAAGCTGATCCAGTTAGGACATCCCCTCTCCGCCACCTGGGGACGCGCCGCCGTAGAAGTTGGGCTTCTCTACCAAGGTGCCCTGAAAAGGACAAGCATCAGCTCGGCGGTGTGTGTGTGTGTGTGTGTGTGTGTGTGTGTGTATATGTATTGTAACGTGTTATTTCCGTTACAAATCATTTCATGGTTTTTGTAGACCTTCGCGTGGTTTTTGGGGTTTTAGATTGGTTTCCACCAGACTTGAAGTCAGACCTACCATTCAACGAGAGTCATTTTTTTTAGAGTCAATTTTGTATGACTGATTATTTTGTTTGTATTTGAATTTTGTACGAAATCACACGCTCAATGATTGGAGGACGTGTTGGACTACGAGGGACATCGAAGGATGATTGGCATGAACGTCAATTCCCATTTGAATTCGATAGAACCTGGAGTATCTACCGAGTCACGTTAAGCTTCGAACGTTGACCGTGAGAGTATGGCGCTGAGGGGACCTTCGTTGCAGAACAGATGAACGAGTGGTGAGTCTACATTAGAGAGGGACTGCTACATCATCGAGGCCTGGACGTGCCGATGAAATACTATGATTTATTGATTCAAGATCAATTAAATGATTGGAGGTAGCTGGAAGGGCTTAAAGACTATTTATGATTTGATGACATTATTTGAATTGTAATTGGAATTATGGTCTAGTTGCAATAGTTAATTTATTCAACTAATTTGGTCATGCGCAGGCGCAAAGTTAGTAGCGCGCAGGCGTGAGATTTCGGGTCGAATCATAATTGAGAGTAATGGTCATATTGCGGGGGCCAATGAAATTAATTGCCGCGCAATTGATGATCGCGTCGACACCTGTCATAGTCGAGCGATCACTTCTGTTCTGGTGGTGACGGCGTGCACGTGTGTTTCGCACGCCTGTCGAAATTTTTTGTGTCCGACGCCATTTCAGAAGCCATGTTGGGCTTTGGCGTCCTTTGGGTATTTCTCCGGGTTTCCTTGGAATTTCTGGAAGTCACTGGGACGTTTTGCGACCTGCCATGCAGCCGGGAGTTCTTTGGGATTTTCGTCTGGAGATCGGTGAGCGTGGTGATTAAACATTTTGGTATTTTGTGAGGACAAAATTGAGTCAAAATGTTCGGCGTATCGCACGCCTTTGAACGACTCTGTTTGATAGTGACGAGATTTTGTCCGCCCAGTGAACAGTTTTCCTCTGAATCTTTTAGTTATGTTGTTTTCGTTAAAAACTCTCATTCGTTAGAAATATTAGTTCGTTCGGAATTTTAGAATTTTGATTTCATTTTTTTGTTTTGTTTTGGTTCAGAATTTTGTACGTTAGATTCATCCATTCGGTGAACCATTGAGGTTTCGTAACCCTGGAGATTTTGAAGTATTTAATTTCGGTTACGATTGGACTCTCGTTGGATGGTATTTAACTTGGATAATTTCGAAGGACATTGAACGTGGGTTACTGTGTGTCTCGTGACCTTGCTTCGTTTCGCTGGCCGTTGTCATGAGTTTTCGTATTTGTTTCGGACAGCCAGCTTACTTGTAACGTAGGCAAATTCTTGGGTTTCGATTGTTCAGTGTTGTTCAATCTACGTGATTATTGTTGACGACATTTCGATTCTGGTTTTCTTTTTTTCTTTTTGACATTGGTTATTCTTGACTTTTGGGGTGGTTAGATCTTTCAATTTAACTATCGGAATTTTTTTTTGTTTTTGACTAAATTGACTAAGTATATTACTTCTTTATTTTCCTATAA